CCACTCCCGAACAGCCAGTCCATTCCAGGCCATTAGGGCTCAATGATTTATTTGCTTTCCTTTAATAGACCTTAATTTCTGCATCTTTAAGCAATGAAGGGATATTATCTGATATGTGAACAAATGAGCTGGATTACTTTGACCTAGGAAAGCCAGGTGTGCGTGCGTTCGTGTGATTTATGCCTGGCCGTTCTTACATGGCTTTGTGTAATACGAATGTAAAAACTAATCCATTATGATTATTAGCAGAAGCTATATGAGTGATGAGGTCACTATCAGAGGGATTATTGAAGGATGGGGTGACCACAATTATGGCGGCGCTGGTGAGGGGGGGTGCTGATCTTGATGGCGGTGGAAGAAGATGTGGTGGTCTTATTGGAGGAGAAGGAAGAGAATGGAACGGGAAGCAGAAATAACTAGACCAGTAGAGATGTGTGTTCAGGCTGCTGTACTGTAGACAGTTGCACTGTGCATATTACTTTTTATGTCACAAAACTTAAAATCATTGTCACCGCTCATTGGTTAATATTCAAGCCTTCGCCACGTGGCAGCAGGAACAAAAAACGTTCGGCCTTGAGTTGAGCACCAGGAGCCTCTCCATGTCAAACTCTTGGGCCAAATTTCAGGCCCTGTACATCCTTGTATAGGCCTACATTAAAATGATAAGCAAAACAAGCGCTGTATCAAGATTTGTCCCGTTACAACATTTTCGTCAATTAACCTGAGAGGCATTAGTTACATACACAAGATATTTTGACTTTGTAGATTTACTTTGCTCCGGGCCCCTCGACCACAGTCAGCTGTGGTAGGCTCCAGCAGCACCCAAATGAGAGCTAGCGGTAAAATAAATGGATGGATGGAGGGTGTACCTAATGATGTGACTGGTGAAGGTTGTTGTAATCGATGAGGAAAAAAGTCATTTCAACAGATTGAACATGGAAACACAATGATGATGATTTTAATAGAAAAAGAAATATCTTCAAACAGCATGCTACTGTGTCTGGAAGAAATGTGACAGTGACGAGTGAGCTGAGGCACAGGCATTTGCAGAACAATTGGTTGAACCTCTGAAGCAAGTATGAACTCCAATGCTTGATGTCACATTCTGGCATGCGCAGCCAAAAATATCTTGATGCTTCCCATTATTATGGTTTCTTTTGGCAGAAAAGTTTAAATGACAAAAACAGGGTCAGTCTAAACCAGAGGTCACCAACCTTTTTTGAAAAGGAGAGCTACTTCTTGTCTACAGATGAGCACAAAGGGCCAGAAGTTGAGGTGTCAAAATTAATCGAATACAGTGAAACTCCTCTACAATGAAACCTACGTGGCCGAAAATACCCCCTAATGTGAAAAAATCTTAATGCATTAACACCATTCCCACTCTCCTGCCTCCCATACAACGAAAAAAAACCCTGTTGCGTTATACGAATTCTTTTTCTCTGCTCTTGCCTCGCGAAGAGATTCACTACAGCGAAGTCTAATCCAACAGCGACCTCTACTGCTTCGTTCGGAAACAGTCTTGCTGCATGACATCATCTGAGCAACGCTGTCTTGGGTGGCGATCGAGGGGAGGTCGAGTTAGAGACAGTGAGATGGTGGAAAGAAAAGCCACCGGGTCCAGGAAGTATTTGTTATTGTTAGATTCAGACGCAGCTTGAACGTTGCATTGCTAAAATGGCTACAAAACGGACCTTTGGATGTCAAGCAGCTAAGACAAGAAGCGCTCTGACGCTGGAAGAGAGGGTAAAAGTGATCAAAATGAAAGACGGAGGAAGCAAAATAAAATACCGGTACATTATCCAAGAAATTGATGTAAGTGAAAGTGAATACTGATCGTACATTTCGCAATTTCTTTCCCTTTTTTTACTTTCTACACTGACTATATGAAGTGTCAAATAAGTGTGTGCTCATACTTATGCACTATTGGAATGAAAATAAAGACTACACATACGTTTGTGTGTACCTTTGTGTGTGTGTACACACACACAAAGGTATGTGTGTGTGTGTGTGTGTGTGTGTGTGTGTGTGTGTGTGTGTGTTTACATCTGAGATCAAATTTGTTACAGTGAAAAACCACCTGTTGTGAAAAATTTCTTGCTGCAAACATGATTTCGTTGTAGAGGAGTTTTACTGTACTTGACAGTTATTCCATCATCAAATTAACTGACAACTATTTTGATCACTGATTAATCATTTAGAGACATTGTTGAGAGACATTGTAAAATTGTCAATTTCCTCTAATTTCAGCCTCACAAAAATACATATTCTCTGATTTCTGTAGTCCTCCATGAAAGCAGACGGATTATCTTTTGGGGGTCGGGGGAGGTCAGAATAAGACATTTGGAAACATTTGCTATTACAGTGAAACTCCTCTAGAACGAAACCTGCATGGGCGAAAATACCCCCTTATGTGAAAAAATCTTCATGCATTAACACAATTCCCATTCTCCTGCCCCCCATACGACGAAAAAAAAACCCTGTTGCATTATACGAAATCATTTTCTCTGCTCCTGCCTCGCAAAGACATTCACTACAACAAAGTCTAATCCAACAGCGACCTCTACTGCTTCGTTTTTTGAGAATTCGAGAGCTACCTATGGCCATCGAGGACTACGAAGCGTCCCGTGGCTGTTTTTAGCATGATAACAAGTAAAGCATTCGAGGAAACGTTCGTTTATTTGAATGTCCGTCGAGCCACTGGAGCGCTAATGAGAGAGAAGCGCTCCAGTTAGCTAAGGTTTTTAGTCTTCGAGAGCTAACTATGGCCATCGAGGACTACGAAGCGTCTCAAGGCTGGTTTAAAAGTTCATTGCATGACATCAGCTGAGCAACGCTGTCTTGGGTGGCGATCGAGGGGAGGTCGAGTTAGAGACAGTGAGATGGTGGAAAGAAAATCCACCGGGTCCAGGAAGTATTTGTTACTGTTAGATTCAGATGCAGCATGAACGTTGCATTGCTAAAATGGCTACCAAACGGACCTTTGGATGTCAAGCAGCTAAGACAAGAAGAGCTCTGACGCTGGAAGAGAGGGGAAAAATGATCAAAATGAAAGACGGAGGAAGCAAAATAAAAGACATTATCCAAGAAATTGATGTAAGTGAAAGTGAATGCTGATCGTAAATTTCGCAATTTCTTTCCCTTTTTTTCTTTCTACACTGACAATATGAAGTGTCAAATAAGTGTGTGCTCATACTTATGTACTATTGGAATAAAAATAGAGTACACAAACGTTTGTGTGTGCGTGTACACATACGTTTGTGTGTGTGGGCGTGTGTGTGCTTACATCTGAGATCAAATTTGCTACAGTGAAAAACCCCCTGTTGTGAAAAATTTCTTGCTGCAAACATGATTTCGTTGTAGAGGAGTTTCACTGTACTTTGGAAAACAATGGTCAACATGTTTCCCTGTTATCTGACATATTACGGACCAAACCAGAAAAAGCAGTCATTATCGATTTATGAAAACACTGGCTCCAGCACGCCCCACAACCCTTGTGAGGATAAAGTGGAGCAGAAAATGAATGGATTAAACTTTATCTATCTATCTATCTATCTATCTATCTATCTATCTATCTATCTATCTATCTATCTATCTATCTATCTATCTATCTATTTATTTATTTATTTATTTATATAAGAAATGATTTCTCACAATTATTAGGAAACAGATAAATGTCAATATGCAACACTTAATTTATATGCATCTCTGCCAGTGCTTGCATTTTCAAATGATTGTTTAGCTAACATTCCATGAAAATCACAATATCCCATCACTGGTGTGCTATTTTTGGAACATGCCCGTTGGACACCAAGTTGGTAACCCCTCGTCTAGACACCCAAAGAAAATATCAGCTAAACTGAGAAGAACAAACACTGCCATCGTGCCTCTTTTTTTGTTTTTGATGCAGATCATTAGCCACAGTCATCTCTGTGGAATATTTATACCTCGTTTGCCAGATGTGACATCAAGTGATCCATGTTCACTGTCTTTTTTGAGATGTTTGATGTGAGTCCAGCTCGAGCCGTCATAGCAATTACCGGGTTATTTTGAAATCCTACTTAACCATACGTCTGTCTCAAATAACAGGGTATTGAATGGCACTGTCCAGTGGCACTGAATGTGTCTGTGTCACTACTGGCACTGCATGACTACATTCCCCATAATGCACTGGCTCTGGATTGTGTTGTGGCATCGGGAAGAGGATTTGGATGATGGTGAAGTTTTTCCATTCACCATCATCCCAAAACCTGCTGCAATAAATTTCACAACCACAGCGGGTTAAAAAAATAGGTCGTCTGGGCTCCTCAAAGTCATCATTGATATTTGGAAAATGTGAGTGAGACTTTCCTCTCAGGTTGCCAGCTGAGATGGAAAAACAAAGCAGGAGAGATGTGCTCTCTAACTTTGCGTTCCCCCCCCCCCACTCAATTCAACCAAAGAATACAATTACTCCAAATAATGTTATCAACTCTTTCGCTACCAATGTTTTAAAGTGTGTCACCACTTGCCACACAAGATTTATACATTATTCGCTTAGAAAAATGCTGCAGTGTCTTCAAGGTTTCCTGGAGGGCTGTGTTTTTTAGGAAATTAATTAATAATGCACTTTTTGCGCAATAACAAATAACTCCCCAAAAGAGCAATAAAAAGAAAAATTGTGTGTGTGTGTGTGTGTGTGTGTGTGTGTGTGTGTGTGTGCGTGCGTGCGTGCGTGCGTGCATGCGTGCGTGCGTGTGTTGATAAATTTCCTAGCGTGTTATTTCCCCACAGTGATCTGTCTACCAGATGCTTGGCTTGCTACTTGTGGCTTCTGCACACATTTTTCACATTTCTTTTCAGCTTCCTTGTTGAAATGCTAGTCTCATGAAACCAATCCAATGAGGCGACATATTTAACTGGCAGGGCAAGGCATATGACAAATGACGGACTCTGGTAACATGCAAAAAAACTGGAAAGTGAACAAAGAAGTAGAAGTAATGTAACAGAGTTTCTATACTCACGTTTGACTTCTCAAACATCCTCTTAAGACTGTCAAGCGGGATGTCAAACTTTTCAATCCTCTTAGCAGCTTGCAGGTCCTCTTTGAGAACTGGATCTTCTGATGTCTCTACCTGCAGCCCGTGGTGGCCTTGGAAGTGGATGTCTGAGGACACCGGGCTCTCTACCCCTTCTCTATTTCCTGATTGAGTTTCCATTGTCCTCAGGAAACCGTATCCCCCACCTTCCCTTTCCCTTCAGAAGAGGAAGTGTATCGTGTGGGTGAGAAAATGAAGCACCGAGAGAAGGTGAATGAAAGATTGTTGCAGGGTTCCTCTTTGTGCGAGGAGCTCCACACGTTAAGCAGGCTGGAAGGAGGAGGAGAAAGGGAAAGTATGCCAATGTGTTTTTTTCTCCTTCATATTCCCTGTAATTACACACACAGAGGGAAAAAGAGTGAGGCTGCCAGAGCAAAGAATGGAGCAGAGAAGCCATTCAATACGATTAACCTTAAAGAGACCCTTTCTTACAGGAGGCCGTCACAACTACTTTTTTCATGTGTTTTGGGTCTCAGAAAATATCCCAGGCTTTTTCTCAGAAACTAAAATGGTCAAGACAAATGTTCGGTACATGCCAGCTATTGTGATCCTTATATCAACATGCTTGCCCTATACAGCATGACTGTAGAGTTCTGGTGCACAGGCTAAACAGAAGCCCATGAAATTGTACCTTGCCTAACAAACAAGCAGATGGACAAAAATACAGCACTCCACTTTTTTTTTCCTCTTTTACCTCAATGGAGATCTGTACTCTAGCTGACTCTCATTTTATACTTTGTTCAAAAAAATAAAGGGAACATAGACAAACCAGTTTCACTTCCTGTTACGCAAAAGGAAAAGACAACAAGTAGGAGGGCAGGCAAACAGAAAGACAACCTCAAGAAAATGCTTTGCAGGTGGGGGCCACTGACAATTTCTCTCTCCTCATCCTTTTTGGATAAGTCCTTGCAACTACCGTATTTTCCGCACTAAAAGGCGCACAGGATTAGGAGGTGCACCTTCAATGAATGGCCTATTTAGTAATTTCTTTCATATATTGGTCGCACTGGATTATAAAGCGCAATCTACAATGCATCCACTAGATGGAGCTACGCTCCTTCCATTTGACTCGAAAGGCGTTCATGACCACCTCCGAAAAATGTAAATTAACGATTACTTCAATGAAACTACGAAAATTGGAAATATAGCCCCTCCTACAGAATTTATTTTGGCATTTCCTTGAGCGTAGCTCCAACAGAACGATCAGATGTCAGTAAAATGTAGGAGACCGGACTGTCTCAGAAGTGTTTGTTATTTATTCCTTTGTTGTGTACTGTATTCACAAACAAGGAAATGCCAAAATAAATTCTGTTAATTTACGTTTTTCTGAGGCGGTCATGAACGCCTCTTGAGTCTAACGGGAGAAGAGAAGACATGGAGACGGACAAAGACATACCTGTATTTGTTGAGACTGTGAACACCATTAATAAAGTGTGCGTTTTAAAAAAACAACACTACAGCTCTCCTTTTTTCGGAGCTGCAACAAAAACTTATTTAATAAAGCAGCGACACAGTTCACTGAACCAACAGCCAGTTATAACATTGTAAGCATGTCTGGAGGAAGGAGCCACCTTGGGTTCGACATATTACCGTAATGACCATACACAAGGTGCAAGGGATTTTAAGGTGCGCTGTGAGCTTTTAAGAAAATGGAAGACTTTTCGGTGCGCCTTATAGTGTGGAAAATACGGTACTGTTCAAGGCTCAGACAAGATGCACTGGTAGTGCAACACCTTCAGTGTGGCACATTCAAACATGGCCTGGCCAGAAGATTTGCTGCACAGCACAGTCTGAGGAGGTGTCAAATACACCAGGAGAGGTAGTGAGAGAAGCACATGTCAAAGAGTTTTTACTTTGTACATGACAGGTGAAAACATTCTGCTGTTTGTAAAATCCTCCAGTATGACTAGTTTGGCAGTGGCTCAGTGATTGAGCTGACATATCCTTAGAGGTCTCATATGAATAGAATGTGTCAAGCGTTCCTGGGTGAAAAAACTTATCCATTCTCTATACCGCTTACCCTGTCAACGGTCACGGAGAGCTGGAGCCTAATCCGGCTGATTTCTGACGAAAGGCGGACTGGAGTCACAGGGGACATACATATATGGACAGTATATTAATTCTTTTCACACCGTCAAACTGACCCAACCCCGCTTGCGCCAAAGTCAGGCAAATGTACCACTACACCATCAGTGACTTGATTGGCCATTCCCCAGACCTGAATCCAATCGAGGACTATACAGTTATCATGTATCCACCACCACATACTCTGGACACCGATCCCCCACAGATCTGGCATCACATTGTTGGCAGTTTATACAGGTATGCGGAGGCCACACACACACACACACAACTAAGTCAAATGACTCGCTGTGTTGAAGAAATGTGCAATCTGTTTTATCATTCTTTTCCATTTTAATTTGGAGCATCAACAACATCCAAAGAAAAGAAACATTTTTAATCAGAATCTGAGACCTGACCAGAAGGGAATTGGCTGGCTTCCCAGGAACAGATGAATAGATTTTGACCTCACCAGCCATCCTGTCTTACACAACTTCCTTTTGCCAATAAAAAGAAAGATGGCACACTTGCCTGAGCGGCACACATGATGGCGGATGCACCCGGACTGTACTTCCTGTAGGGGTTCTGACAGTCTGTGGCTATTCACTTATTATTTATGTCCTGCACACTGCCATGTTTCAAACTTGATTCAATTACTATGATTCCCCCCATTTCTCCTCACAGACACTGGAAGTTTAGGGACCAAATTATGATGATGATGATGATGAGGAGGAGGAGGAGGAGGAGGATAAGGAGCAGGAGGAGGAACGTAAGTGAGCTGACTGAGGGTGTCATGAGATCGTGGCGTCTTAGTTACAATAATCAGTGATAACTCATTTTGAAACTCAAACGGAGCTGTGAATGAAAGGAAAAGAGAAAGAAGTCAAGAGGTATTCCAGATAATTCCCTAATCGTAATGAATGATCAGTTATCACTTGCGATATAATGTGTGCATCTGCACTGTGAGGATAAAGAAAACTCCCTTTTTACATGGGACACATACATTATTCAAAGAGAGTCAAAGCGCTATTCAGTGGCTCACTTTAAAGCACTTAGAAAAAATTGCTCTTTTAGTTCATTCCTGGATGTTGGTTTTGTTCCCAGAGTGAGTGTGAATCTGAATATTTTCTTTAAAATAAATCAAATGTCTACGATGAAAAGCTTTTATTCTATATTGAGATCTTCTTTGTAGGCTTAATATATAATAATAATTTTTTTGTTTGTTTTGTTTTGTTTTTTTGCGGCAGCCTTCATCCTGGGCGGATTGAGCCGGCTTCTTCCTTGGCTCGCATGATGTCCCTGATCATGGCGGCCCAAGCGCGGCGATCCTGTGCCAGGTCAACCGACATCCCTGTAATTACACACACAGAGGGAAAAAGAGTGAGGCTGCCAGAGCAAAGAATGGAGCAGAGAAGCCATTCAATACGATTAACCTTAAAGAGACCCTTTCTTACAGGAGGCCGTCACAACTACTTTTTTCATGTGTTTTGGGTCTCAGAAAATATCCCAGGCTTTTTCTCAGAAACTAAAATGGTCAAGACAAATGTTCGGTACATGCCAGCTATTGTGATCCTTATATCAACATGCTTGCCCTATACAGCATGACTGTAGAGTTCTGGTGCACAGGCTAAACAGAAGCCCATGAAATTGTACCTTGCCTAACAAACAAGCAGATGGACAAAAATACAGCACTCCACTTTTTTTTTCCTCTTTTACCTCAATGGAGATCTGTACTCTAGCTGACTCTCATTTTATACTTTGTTCAAAAAAATAAAGGGAACATAGACAAACCAGTTTCACTTCCTGTTACGCAAAAGGAAAAGACAACAAGTAGGAGGGCAGGCAAACAGAAAGACAACCTCAAGAAAATGCTTTGCAGGTGGGGGCCACTGACAATTTCTCTCTCCTCATCCTTTTTGGATAAGTCCTTGCAACTACCGTATTTTCCGCACTAAAAGGCGCACAGGATTAGGAGGTGCACCTTCAATGAATGGCCTATTTAGTAATTTCTTTCATATATTGGTCGCACTGGATTATAAAGCGCAATCTACAATGCATCCACTAGATGGAGCTACGCTCCTTCCATTTGACTCGAAAGGCGTTCATGACCACCTCCGAAAAATGTAAATTAACGATTACTTCAATGAAACTACGAAAATTGGAAATATAGCCCCTCCTACAGAATTTATTTTGGCATTTCCTTGAGCGTAGCTCCAACAGAACGATCAGATGTCAGTAAAATGTAGGAGACCGGACTGTCTCAGAAGTGTTTGTTATTTATTCCTTTGTTGTGTACTGTATTCACAAACAAGGAAATGCCAAAATAAATTCTGTTAATTTACGTTTTTCTGAGGCGGTCATGAACGCCTCTTGAGTCTAACGGGAGAAGAGAAGACATGGAGACGGACAAAGACATACCTGTATTTGTTGAGACTGTGAACACCATTAATAAAGTGTGCGTTTTAAAAAAACAACACTACAGCTCTCCTTTTTTCGGAGCTGCAACAAAAACTTATTTAATAAAGCAGCGACACAGTTCACTGAACCAACAGCCAGTTATAACATTGTAAGCATGTCTGGAGGAAGGAGCCACCTTGGGTTCGACATATTACCGTAATGACCATACACAAGGTGCAAGGGATTTTAAGGTGCGCTGTGAGCTTTTAAGAAAATGGAAGACTTTTCGGTGCGCCTTATAGTGTGGAAAATACGGTACTGTTCAAGGCTCAGACAAGATGCACTGGTAGTGCAACACCTTCAGTGTGGCACATTCAAACATGGCCTGGCCAGAAGATTTGCTGCACAGCACAGTCTGAGGAGGTGTCAAATACACCAGGAGAGGTAGTGAGAGAAGCACATGTCAAAGAGTTTTTACTTTGTACATGACAGGTGAAAACATTCTGCTGTTTGTAAAATCCTCCAGTATGACTAGTTTGGCAGTGGCTCAGTGATTGAGCTGACATATCCTTAGAGGTCTCATATGAATAGAATGTGTCAAGCGTTCCTGGGTGAAAAAACTTATCCATTCTCTATACCGCTTACCCTGTCAACGGTCACGGAGAGCTGGAGCCTAATCCGGCTGATTTCTGACGAAAGGCGGACTGGAGTCACAGGGGACATACATATATGGACAGTATATTAATTCTTTTCACACCGTCAAACTGACCCAACCCCGCTTGCGCCAAAGTCAGGCAAATGTACCACTACACCATCAGTGACTTGATTGGCCA